ATTTAATATTCGAGCATTATTACTTCTTTATTCGGTTATTATTTAATTTATTCGATTATTATATAATCATTGCTATTACGCATAGGAAAGCAATTCAGGCGTGCCATTACGACAATTTCTTTACCTCGTCTTTTATCAGTTATTATCGCCGTTGTCCAGTTATTGTTATTCATTGTTATTATCGATTATTCGATCATCGTTATTCCGTTATTATGCACTCGCGGATATTATCACACGATTATCAAACAGATATTATTACCACTAACATTTAATATTGAAGTATTATTACTTCTTTATTCGGTTATTATTTAATTATTGCTGTTACGCCTAGGAAAGCAACTATATAATAATACTTTTAAATAATAAATAATAATAAATAATAAATAATATATATATATTCTGAATATTCGGACGTTGTAAAAAGTACGATAAAAGTACGATGTCATCTCGAAAAATATTCGTAAACTAATTTTTCGCTCATCATACACTGAGAGAAAAATTATCTTAAAATCAACAAATATTTCCTTGGAAATCTACATTCTCTTTACTTAAATCAAATATTGTTTATTTAAATCAAGTAAACAATATTTGATTTAAGTAAAGAGAATATAGATTTAAGTAAATATGTTAATGGCACCCACTAAGGAAATATTTGTTGATTTTAAGATAATTTTTCTCTCAGTGCAGTTGTCGGAAAACCTAACCGCATGTAATCATAAACTTTTTTGCATACTTTTCGTATCTGTTTTGGCATCAAAACTAAATTCTTAAAATGTAGTGATATTTGAAATTTTTCTGATTGGAGCATCCACAGTTTCGGTATGTACAACCTGCAGAATGTTTGTATTAAACAAATATTGCACTAACTGACACTGACAGCTCAAAATTTAAATTTAAACATATTTTTGTCGTTTTCGTCACATATTGAGCAATGCTCTAGTTTATTTTTGTATGCACTTTTGTTGTGCAAAAGCATTTGTAATTTTGTGCAAGCAACAAGACGTAAACTTTGCAAAAAGAAGTCAACGTTATATCGGTAAAGTTTTCATATCCGGCATCCCCTAAGGACAATCGTCTCTGCGTTATCGACATTGTTCGAGTTCGTTATTGACTTCAGCTGTCAGCATCCTCTTACTAGTTGTCATCTGAAACTTGTTTCATGTAAGATACTCGAACTTTTATAAAGTTGCGTCCAAATTCTTTATTTGTGTTATGATATATGACATTTATACCTACAATCAACTGAAAAACTCTCATCTAATTCTGAATTTCAATCTGAGTATTTCACTTGAGACAAGTTTCGAGTAATGACTATTAATACAGGCCTGAGAAAGTTTACAGCTTTGTTACGACCGCGCATGCACGCTGACTCGCGCTTCTCTCGCCCTTTCTCCGCATTTCTGATCGCGCGTAATTGTCTCGTGAAATATTTATAGGCCCGATCACTTTCCACGTGAATACCGCTAGGAAAGTTCGCGATCTTTCGCTCTTTCGACCTAACCCAGTTTCGATGTTTCCCTTTCGCAATCTGCGCGTCGCTCGTCTCGACATCAGCCGTTCTCATCAAATCTATGATCGTTTGTTAATTTAATCGCGCAATTCATTACGTGGAGAAAATATCGTAGTCAAAATTATATTTCCTTTTACATTGTACTTTGTTAAGCTGGACTACTGAAACTGTATACAAGAGGAGAAGTTTGGTTGAATCAAACAAATTTCTGGTGAAACGTGAACGAATCAGAAATTCCGGCTGAAGCTGCCAGAATTCTGTCCAAATTAACAAGATTTCTAGTAAACGTGAACAGAATTCTCTTAACTTCAACCGGAATTTTCCAATTCGTTCATGTTTTACCAGAAGTTGGTAAATCCAAATGTTGTTTTACATGTAGCGAGCTTAGCACTTTTCAACCAAGAATATTAAATTAAAACAAAAATTCGGTTTGCTTACTACATAAAATCGAGCTCCAGACAGATTTCACAGATTTGCGAATTAAATCAGGCGCAAATGTTTAAAGGAATCAGGAATTTATGTTGCGTAAAAATCTCTAATAAGACATTTCCGCAACAAATTCCCGACAAGCTTCTTCCGCGCGTGAAATCAGTTACCTAATATATACAATGAATACAATGAATCAGTTATCTAATATATACAATGAAGAATATATTATGATATCAGTTATCTAATATATATAATAAACATATATCGAGGAATGATAATATATATTTCAAGCGTAGCAGATTTAATAATCGCGTTTGCATCGAGCACAGCGTGGCTTTCGACTTTTACTTTGTTACGGTCTAGTTTCATAAATCTACGGCCAATCTCGGCATCGCGCATATAACACACAGTGGTTAGTCCGACAAATTGACTGGCTCGTACAAAAAGCCTCGCCTTTAAGCGCATACGCGTTTACCTAGCCAGCTAATGGCGGCTCTCGCCCTACTCATTATGTAAATCCCGACGGATTAATTACGCGTGTTCCGATTATGCCCGTTGATTAACGACGAAGCGTTTTCTCTGACCTGGCGATGCGAAAAATTAAAAAAGTCCCACAACATTCGTCGATACGGTCGCGACGGCGCGGAATTCGCAAGCATGAGATTCTTGTATAAATAATACATGAGCTTGACGAACAAACGAGCATGCCTGCATTTTACCCTGGTCACGTCACGAATGAGATCCGACGGAATCCCCGTTTTGAATCTAATCTATCGCGTCTCGTCGTTGGGTGACTCAGAGAGATGTTTAGCGCTGCGCCTTTGCGTTTGCTTCGATGAGGACGTTATAACGTTCAGAACTTTTCATTCAAATGGAGAGAATCTTATAATAAAAGTTACTACAGCTTGGTTTTGTAACCAAGAAACAAGTCGACATTTTGCAATAATTTGTTATCTTTTCGTTTTATATGTACTATTTATATTTCAGGAACTGTATATGTGTGTATATAATGTATGTATGTGAAATGTGCTATTAAGAATTTTTCTATTTTCTTAGAGAAATTTACTTTATCTTAAAAAAAAAGAAAGAAAAGAAATTTACTATGCTCTCCTTAGCAAGATGGCGCTTACTGACAATTTGTTTCCCAGCACTATTAAAAACATAGAATTGCAAAGAATTTATATTAAAAAAGAAACTATAATATTCTCTCCATGTAAAGGCGTTACACATTTCTTATCGAATTAACAACAGCTAGTTAACTAACAGAATTGAAAGCCACTACTGACTATATGCGCAATAATTAATTATAAACACATAAAAATTATTTCTTAAAATAATGTTCTCTTAATTAAAATAAACTTTTTTCATATTTCATAGGTATTATTATTCACAGAAAGAAACTTTATTCTTATTCACAAGAAATAGAACACTCTGTATTCCGCCTCCTGTCATAACCGATCATTACGCATATACGTCAGTAATGACTTTCAGTTCTGACTACTTGAAACGTTGCAACATCATTCGATAATAAAAAGTGTAACAAACCATTTAGCAGCCAAGTGTATAATGCCCTTACAGTTCTAAATTATACTAAGTCGGTTCGAAAGATCGCATTTGTCAAGCGAAAAGGCAACAAAATTGTCCAATTTCGAAGAATTAATAATTTTTATGAATAAAATAATTCGCTTTTTTTCAAATATCTACTCCATATTCTTCTCTTTTGAATATCCAAACTTTCTACAAAAATTTAAGGCTTCTCGGCCTATATATTAGATTATGACGTCAGAAACGAGAAATAACGCGCTGAAAATTCTTATGTACCTTACAAATAACAAGATATTTAAGAACACTTCAGATCGCTTAAGCATACTTGCAAAATATTCCGAAAACTATTATGTTGCCCCTCCTTTCTGATAGTCAATAAATAGCCGTAAAATAAGTGTGAAAAAATTAAGAAGTAGGTTAAAGAGGAAGAGTGTTACGTTAATTGGACGGCTACTTATTGACTGTCAAAAGAAAAGAATAGTTCTCGAAGTATTTTATAAATATACTTACGTGTTGTCTGTATAGTCTCTACAAAAAGTCACTGACAATTGAGATTTTTGTTATAATTTTTTCACTATTTTTTTTCCTTTACTAAAGATAACAATATCATACATTTCTATAATAACACGATGCAAGATATACCTAAGAAGCAGGATGATAACATATTAATTGACATATTATTGATATTAGATGTTAGAAATTATTAATGCATCACAAAAACGTCACTTGACGTCAGCATGTTTGCTAAACTTATACATCAAAGTGAAATATCTTTTGATTCAGATCCTAAATCAAATTATTTATGTTCACTGCGCAATTAACTTCTAATTTTCCCGCTGTTCTTTCATTACTTTTGAGATGTGGGCAACACATTCTTAAAACTATCAAAAGTATTCTTCCGTACAGATATCGGTAAATATTGACAAAAACAGACCACTTTCCGAGAACGATGACCTTCACATATTACCCAGATATCTTTTTATTTGCAAATGACATGTAAGAATTTTGCGTTCTCTCGATTCTTCGACATCATCAATCCAGAGTTCCGCAGCGAGTATTCACCTTTTCTCTACTAATTTTGTTTCTTAAAAATACAATTTCTTTTACTTTCACCTTATTAATATATGTTAATAAAGTTTTAATAAAGGAATTAATAGTTTTACGTTTGGCGGCAAAGGGATAGGGTCGAGATACTGATGTCTTACTGGGGTTTTTGGGAGGTTGTGTTTATCTCAATGGCAATAAGTAGAATAATGATGTCCTGAATGTCAGAAAAGTTTATTTAATTGAATAAGGTTATTATTAAAACACATATGTCCCGTTGGAATCAAAAGGGTTAGTGGAAAAGTGAGAAATCTTATCGCACCAACTCAATATATCCCTCCCCCTCTTATTCTTTCCGAACAACCGTATCCCCGATATAAACGAAAACGTAAAAGGAATATTGAGAGAATGCCTGAGAAAAGATGTCGCGCGAATTAATTAAAACGTATTCTCTTTTGCTTTTATCTTGCAGCATATGGAACCACCTGGTTCAAATCACCAAAGACGGCAACAAGACGGTCATCATAACCACACATTACATTGAGGAGGCCCGACAAGCGCACACGGTAATATCACGCCAAAAGAGTGGTCTAATTAACCGGCGCCCACATTCGGCGGAATCAGTTTTTATCTCGACGCGGTTGAACTCCGCCAGGACCGATAGAAAGAAAGATATCGAGCGATTCCAACGCGCTGTGTTAATGTCAAATTAACATGATTGACGCCGATTACACGTTATTATCGCGCCATTGGACCGGCCATACTGCGTGCATGTTACGTCGGCAACATAAATTATAGTGTAATTGTCTCTGAGAGATTGCTCCCGACGTTTTTTACCATGATTTATTTATCTCACGACGAACGTAGCGCGGTGCTGCAGCTGTAATATTATCGCAGTTTTGATCATCGATCGATTCAAGGAAAAAGTAACTGATTTATTTATCCATTATTTTCTTTCCCCCTCTACGAAATTTCGCGCGCGAATTAGTTCTTCCAAGGTAAAAAGGAGATAAGCTTAGGAATTTTGTGAAAACTCATATTTCCGTGGGAGTATAAGCATTGAAATAATGTTTGAGCGGCAGGTTCTAAACGTATTCTACATATGAACCTGCGTTACTCATGTATAAATTCATAAAAGATAGCTGAAAAAACAGTTAGACTGATGCAAATTATCAAACCAAATATCAAACAAAATGTATGTCTGAAAATACAGACTTATACAAGTCATCAAAAATACATTAAAAATAAAATATAAAATCAAATGCATGTCTGAAAAGACAGCTTTCCAGACTTATGCAAGTCTTCAAAATATCAGATGTAAGAAAAACCACTTAAGAATAGTAAAAACGCAATGAGAAATAATTTCGTTGACAGATCGGCTTGATGAGGAGCGGCCGATTGTTGGCCGAGGAGGCACCTAGGACTCTCTTATCAATGTACAACTGCGCCTCCCTCGAAGAGGTCTTCCTGAAGCTGTCCAGAAAGCAAGGACAATACGCGCAACCACCAACGGAGTTGAACATCTCGAATAATATCAGCCTGGTGAGTGAGAACACTCGAGGAACTGTGATTCCCTCAGATGCTTTTTTTACTTGTACATTGCACTCTGCATGTTTTTCTTGTCTTTCGCGGATTTTCGCGCAAATTCAACGTCCACAAGTTCAGCACGTTGTACAGTGTAAGAAAAAGTTACCTCGAGGGAAAGCGTGTTTCGAATATTACTTCAGTCGTGTACACAGTATCGTGTTATATCACATATACTGTAAAAAAATACTTGAAGATTTATTTATGAGATACAAAAACATTTATTCACAAAAACAAACTTTATATCCTGCAAATGAATTTATTTTTATTCACATTATATTTATTCACAAAAACAAACTTTATATCCTGCAAATAAATTTTCAAGATTTTTTTCAATGTGTCTATCGAGTGTTCTTCGACGCAATCGTCGTAATTTGTTCTTTTGAATTTTTTGACTTTTACAATTTATGATTGCGATAAAATAATTCCCGAGTTCATATTTTAGTAACATTTGGATAAAGAAATTAACATACTGAGAAAAACTACTTGAAAATTAATTTGTGAGATATAAAGTTTATTTCACATAAATAAAGTTTATATCACACAGAAATAAACTTTATTTCGCAAAAAGGAATTTTAAGGAGCCCACAAATAAATTCTCAAATATTTTTTTCTCAGTGTACACGCAAAAGAGCTTTTAAAATATCTACTTGGCGATAAATTCTAAATCTGAAAAACGCTGTGTAATTATCTTATTGGTTATCTTATGATTAATTATCTTACTGTTTTTGTACACGACTTTCTCTCTATCTCCCAATCCCTCGAGGTTCTTTAAATGTTTATCGTATTTCGCAATTTGTCTTTGTCTCCTATTTGAAAATTTGTGCCTCCTCCTTTCAAGCTTTCTGTCTCGTTTCGCGTCAGATGTTTACCACACTATATATGACATCGATGTTAAGTGTCACATCGATTTTATTTCCCGGCTCAACTGAACGCCATGTGATCGACACGAAGCAACGTGCATTCGCGCAGAGAAAAAACAGAGTATTCGCTTTCTTTCGTTCGACCTAGGTGCCTCACAGCAAATTTCGTCGGCAGATTTGCGAGCGTTTCACATTACCGCACCTCTTTTCGCCATCGGCCACGCTTCTTTTCCCTTTTTTTTGCACACAGGCTTCCTTAAACTGGGGCAAGAAAGACGAGCCGGTGTACGTGACGGAGGAGTCCGGTGTTGTCGGTCTCAACTTCCATCAAAGCAAAGAGGTCCTGATCTATGACTCCACCAACGGAATAGCCAATCATTACGATGTAAGAGATGATTACTCGCCCGCACGCATCGCGGATGTTAATTTGTACAAATATCTACGGCCTTCATTAGCAGTGTGCAACAGCCCATACGCTATTCGTTGCAAATCAATGCGGTTTATGTCTACGCGTGCACTACGTAATAACGCTCTCTCTCTCTCTCTCTTTGTGAGCGTGGAAGTTTCACATTCACCATCGAGATCCATCGCTGTGTCAGTGTGTGGCCAACTCCTGAACTGCGTCCCTCCCCATTCCGGAAGTCCAGACCCACGTTGATTGCATTTTATTTGCGACGCAACGCGATTAAAACTTTTTAACGACGTTGAAAAGTTTAACGAACAGAAGCTACACTCACGAAAGATGAAATCGAAATTTATTACTACTGCGATAATAATACACGATGGTTTCTCGCGACGTCCCACGGCGTCTCATGATGTCCCACGTTGTCTTATATATTGATTGGACCGCGACGCGAATAATATGGACATTCTAACGGTGTTTAACGGCGTTGAGCATCTCTCCACGCCGTCGAACAATCTATTTCTTTTCATTCGGAACGGAATTTATGAACTCAATTTTTACATGGAAAAAAAGGTTTGGTTGAATTAACCAAATATCTGGTCGAATATGAAGGATCCAGCAATTCTGATTGAAGTAACTCGAATTCTGTTTAAGTTAACAAGATTTTTGGTTGACTTAAACAGAATTCGAGTTACTTCAATCGGAATTTCTGGATCGTTCATATTCGACCGGATATCTGGTTAATTCAACCAAGCCTTTTTTTCCGTGTAGGAAAGACGAAATCGAAATTTGCGAATACGTTTGAATAGCTACTGATGCAATATTATATAAATCCCGATATTTCAGTAATATATATTCGTGAGTCGCGTACGAAATATCGTGAACTGAAAATCGAATTGAAATCAATCGAGACGGCATGCGAGTGAAAATATATTCTAAGTAACCGAAATCAAGAGTAACGTGGCACTTTTTACAACAAGTAGGTTAGGCCGTAACTTCGTAATATCTGAACGAAGATTACTCCGCTATATTTGCACGGAGATTCTACTCCGCTATATTTGCGCGGAGATTGATCCGCGATACTTTTACGAAACACGTTTTCATAATTCCACAAATTTAATTCCGCGAAGTTTCTTTAACAAATATTGTCGCAACGCGGCGGTAAAAAGTGCAAAAATTCAAAAGTTGAAAATCGCGGTAGTTGCGAAATTTATTGACGCGAACAAAGTAATCTCGCGAATTCCGCGAGCAGTGACACAACTATGGTGCGCAATTCTGGAGCTTTATACGGCATGAAACAATTAAGGAATATCACATTGAACGAATAATTCTGCGTTGAATAATTATGTAGTTTAAGTGAAATATAAAAGCAAGTGGAAAAGTATAGTACTCGAATAAATGTACACGGAGAAAAATAATTTGCTGGCTCAGCAAATTTTCTGCTGGTTTAGCAAAATCTTTTTGTTATCATATAAACAGCAAAAAGATTTGCTAAGAGTATTAATCACTATTTGCTGGATATAATTTGCTGAATCTACAAATTATTTTGCTATAAAAACCGCGATGGATTTATATAGGCAGTTGCAGTTTTGCTGCGATAGCAAATAAATTTGCTAAGGATACATTATTTTGCATCAATAGCAAATTAACGTGATTCTTAGGGCAAATATACTCAACAAATTTTTTCTATCCTGGCAATAAAACTACTTCTGCTCTGATAACAAATAATTTGTAAAATTAGTTACGTCAACTAAATTTACAGGTGATGAAATAATTTGTAAAATTAGTTACGTCAACTAAATTTTTTTATGTCACTACGAATATGCAGTAACAATGACGATTTTGCAAAATTATTTTCTCCATGTACGTAAAATAATTAAAATCAAATATTCAATACATGAAATAATAACTTGATGATATTTGGTAGATTTCCCGTTTGATTGTTTCAAACGGTTAAATTAATGTCACATACACACATATAAAAGTCTACTAGCAAAATAAATCGCATTGATTTCAACGAAATCCTATAAAAACCCCTGTAAATCTACCAGTCTAAATTTTTTCTCATGTTTGTATTTTTTATCTCATTTGTTGTAAGTATTCTTTGTATTCATTTTTTCACTTACCATAACGACTTGCAGTTAGAACTAGCCACGTTCCGCTATCAAGTCTGAAATAACAAAGCAAATATCTATGTCAGTTAAATTCAGGAATTTAGATTAACATAAAAGTAGGCGTATATAAGTCACGAATGAATCAGTTCGCTGTTCGATTTATTTCGACAACTATATTCCGAATTTTGGCAGCAAAGAATTAAGCAGAAAAGTACCATGAACGTGTGATCTCACCTTCGAGTCGATTCTGCTTCGCCCGAACCGGATCCTCCAGTACTGCAACCGCGTCCACCGGAAAATAGCAACTGCTTTCGTGATGTGGCTAGATCCTATCAGATCTGAAACAAAAAGAAAATTGTTTTTTTTTCATTTAATTGTGTCGATAAAGAAATTACTCAATACTTGTAAATTAAAATTACGGAGGAACTATCGTCTATCCCGCTTCCAAAATTAATAAAAACGAGCAGAGGTAGTCACCTTTAAGATTTTTCGTGATGCCGCTACTACATTGCGACGAATACGGTAATCGTACGCGCGAAGTATCATAATTAATCTCACGACTACTCTGAGATTAACTTGGGGAATTTATAATAACGCGCAACACGATCCGACGCAATCATCTCCGCGTTCAAGACTGTTGTAATCTCAAGCCAGTTGCCTACTATGAGTCGAGCGTGTGTTGTTTCGAAGGTCGCGCGACCTGCCGCGAGACTTTCGGCGCGCCAACGGATCTCCATTGTTTAGGAACACTCAATTATTTAACGGTTCACGATATTGTTTTGTCTACAAGATATACAATTTACGATCTCAGTAAGTGTAGTAATATTGAAATTGTATTGTTTCACTCACCATTACATGTTTCAAAGTCCATTGTCTAATTTGACATCCCCCTCGCGAAACTGTTCTGTAGCATTTAAATCTGAAGAAAATAGCAATTTTCCTAATTAATTATAGCGAAGGAGAGATGGCTCGATGTTAATGATGAATATCAGAGACCTGAAAATATATAGCTCTTTTAAAAATAATAAAAATGTGACATTTGCGACAGTCACTCTTTATATCTCGAAATGCAGACTACGATACTCGTTTCGATGATCACAGCGCGAATAAATCTTTACATATTAGCTTTCATTATTTTAACAATATCTAAAATTACAAATTATTAAATTATTATTTAATTATTCACAATATAATTCCATTTGAATATATAATATACGACTTATATACGGTTTACGCATGTGTAACAATATTGAAATTTTATTAATTTAATTTTTAAAATTTAATTAATTTTACATTTTATTAATTTTATTAGCTTCACTCACCACTATACTTGACGACATTGTCTAATCTTACATTCCAAGCCCGCTTTGCTGCATCCAAATCTGAAACAAAAAATTTTTTGTTTAGTCATAACGATAGAAGAATTATTCTGACATGCATAATTCTGAAAAAAAGTATTGAAATTCTAAAAGTGGGATAATGTTCCGAAAAGTTCACAATCCCGAAAACTAAATACCGGAACTAAAAAATATAATTTTACCGAAATATTGATAAAATGCCATTATCCCGAAAAAGTCACAATCCCGAAAATTGAGTACAGTAATAATTTTCCAAAATATTGAAAATACGAAGTTGTTAATAACTTGTCGTACAACTTTGGGGGCAATTTCATGTTTGCAATATTCCAGAAATGTATCTCTGTTTCAGTTTTCGGAACTTTAACTTTTCGGCTTATGCATATCCACGCAAATTACTCAATGCCAGCAAATTACTCAATTAAAAATATTAGGGGTTCGAGTATATATCACTATTTAAAATAATAAAAATGTGCCGTACTCTGTCACACGTTACATTTTGAAATACTGCCCGCGATAATCTCGCCCAGATAATCACTACGTAAATAAATTTTGTTAATTACACATTAGCTTTGATTATATAACAAAATACAAAATAGTGATAAGAAAATAACAAATACGTGTTAATTCAGCTACATCAGGGATTGCTATGGGCGCACTGTGTACGTTCAGGCGGCACCACGTACCGGAAGTCGCGCGACCTTGAAAATAACAACGCACGACGGAGTAGGTTTTTGCGACCATTTAGGGAAACTCCATACACATGCGCTTTTTCTATCGTTTCTCCCACAGCTGATGTTCGTGTTTATATGTTGTTTGAGCTTTTTAAACTCGAAATGAATTTTCACTCAATATAATGTTTTACTGTTACATATAAAAATGTAGAAGATATCACACGTGTAATTTACATGTATAGCAATCACGTTACATGAATAATTTTCTTGTTGAGAAATGGAGAGAAGTAAATGATGTAATCTTTTAACAGATTGTGTGAAATGAGTCATAACAAACTTTCATAGTAAATTACGAAGACGTACGCGGAAGGAAGCTAGATGTCTGATTTTTACGTCAGGGATAGATACCGGTAGTTGGAACTTAAATATCGTAGATACACGATAATGGCTCTTATATTTACTCATGAATAAATGAAGTGCGAAATATATGCTATAAAATCAATCTTTGTTTAATATATACGACGGATTTGCAAATAGATAAATGGCAAACCGCTAACGGGTGCGAAAGCAGGATCCGTCTTAGAGTGCGACGATTGCGGCGACTTCACGGACTGTTATAAGATTACCAGCTGGGGCAAGATTAAAGCACTTCTGCAGAAGAATTTTCTACGTATGTGGAGGAACATCGGGTACGTTTGTTGATCGCACGATATCTCGCATTCTTCAATCTTTTGTCACTCCCCGTCGTCTCTCTTTCTCTCTCTCTCCCACTTCTCTCCCAAAAATTATACAAACATTAGCGCATCTGAATTGCCTAAATAACCTGATTTTTAATCGATTCACCCAACGACAATAATGTTTCGGACGAGCGGTGGCTTGACGGGATAATATATTACACGCGATAATTATTCTTGTGCAGTGTAATGCTGTTCATCTTCGCCTTGCCGGTGATGCAAGTGATCCTCTTCTGTCTGGCGATTGGACGAGATCCCACGGGATTGAAGCTGGCCATAGTAAATGACGAGATGTTCTACGAGAACATGACTTGTCCCACCTCAGAAAACTGCACCTTCAGCTATCTTAGTTGTCGGTATCTCAAGTTCCTGGATAACGAAACGATGATAAAGGCATGTGTCGTCATAAAAAAATATAATTTTTTATATACATTAATTTAATACACATAAGTGAATAATGTAGATATAAAAAATGCATTGAATACAAAACATCTTTCTCTAAATTAAAAATCATAATTTGTTCCAAGAATAACAGGCAACTTTTTTCATTGTCTCTCACCTTCTTTGTTACAGACGTATTACCCGGATCCAGACTCGGCGATGGAAGCTGTACGTAGAGGGGAAGTTTGGGGGACTTTATACTTCACGGAGAACTTCACGGACGCGCTCGTAGCTAGAATGGCCTTAGGAAGGGACTCCGACGACGAGACTCTCGATCAAAGCGAGATCAGAGTCTGGTTGGACATGTCCAGTGAGTGTTCGTGCGCTGAAGTCTTGAGGAAATTTACTATAATTCTCTATCGACTAAAAACAAACGCGCGGTTGTTCTTGAAGTTTACAATTTGAAGTGCTTTGTGCTTCATGTCGATAACGAAGTAAAACATTTTATCTACTTTTGTCGCTTCCATCGAAACATCACACTTATATGTCACACATACACATACATCATTCATTCAAATATAAATAATTTAAAAAACATTTAACAATGTATTAAATCATGATATATTTTTCTTTCATTCGCGCGCGAGAAATAAACTGTATTCGTCGAATCCCATTCATTTTCTTTATTTTTTGTTTACACGCGATCCATTGCATTCAACTTTGTCGAAACGTTTATCATTCACAAAACAGTTCGCACAATTTCTTTGCACGCATATCCTAATAACAACTGAGTTGCTATTTTTGCGATTTTAGATCAGCAAATAGGCCTAATGCTGGCGAGAAATCTCCAGTATTCATACAGGGATTTCGCTAAGGACCTGTTGTCGTCCTGCGACCAAAATACGAAATTAGCCGATGTACCGATTCAATTTAAGGAGCCTATTTACGGTACCAACGAGCCTAGCTTTACGGACTTCGTAGCACCGGGTGTGATATTGACGTAAGTAATATTCATGTGTTTTCTTTCATTTGCTAGATTAAATTTCACGTTTGACATTTACTGATTGTGACCATTAATTTAAGCGCTCAATAACACACACACACAAAATTAACTTAATAATAATAATATATATGCTCGCGTAAAGAAAGCATATACTGAGAGAAGGAAATGATCTAACTGAAATTATAATTGTTTTTCTCCAATCGTATCTTTTGGTTGTTCTAACATGAAAATTATAGTAGTAACACAAATATAAGATCAGTATTATTAACAATATAGTAGAATTAATATAAAAAATGGTTTTCTTTATTACCATAATTTAAAGTAATTATTTTATACCATAATTTATAGTAATTATTTAATACCACAATTTATAGTAATTACTTCTCTCTACGTGATTATATTTACAAATATATCAAACATCCTTTTCTCAGTGTACCAAAAATCTCGAGGACACGTTTCCTCAAAATTGTTTGTCGTGTGTCCGTAGTATCGTCTTCTTCTTGGCGGTCGCGCTGACGTCATCTGCTCTAATTATCGAGAGAATGGAAGGCTTGCTGGACCGAAGCTGGGTGGCAGGTGTATCGCCCGGTGAGATCCTGTTCTCCCATGTGGTCACGCAATTCGTGGTGATGTGTGGTCAAACCGCTCTCGTATTGATCTTCATGATCCTAGTGTTCGGAGTCGAATGCAAGGGCGATATTGGATGGGTCATCATACTAACAATACTCCAGGGACTGTGCGGCATGTGTTTCGGTAAGACGATTCCGCATATGATTTTCCTCGCACTTATACTCTCCTCAAAAAAAAATAGAATCTTATCTTTAGCGAAAATCCTATACACATAACTTCAAAAGGATTCTTCCAAAGCCAAAAGGAAAATATTCTAAGCACAATATCCTTAAAGTTAGAGGAGCTTCATTTCTTATCTACGATTCTTGGTCTTAATAAAAATTTCTTCTAGTAAACAGACATTCTACTTCAAAGAAACATATTTCTTTTAATTCAAAAGGAAAACAGGTTACCAGAATATCTCCGTAAATTAGATTAGATATGCTGGTAGATTTGCGATTAATAATTCACTTCATTAAAAGAGGAATACTCTTTTGGTAAAAATTTTCGCTTGGAATATGGGATTAAGGAAAATAGCATCTTGCAATTAGAGTTCTCTCTTTGATGTTAGAATATTTTTCTTTTGACTTGAAAAGAATCCTCCTAAACTCGAATATAAGAAGATTTTCGCTAAGAATAACATTATACTTTTTTTAATATAGTTACAATAAAAGTAATATTGCAATATCGAAGATACGCATTTTACATTTGATTTTACATAACTTAAAACATAAGATATATCTTAACAAATGGCGCAAAGCGAACATTAGCGTTTTTTATGTGCACGCTGTGTTTCTTGAGCTATATTTTTCGTCATTATTGCATCGCCAGCTAACCTGTTTCATGTACGTTAAACTTAAGCTTCGTCACTGATTCATTAAATGCAACCAGTTCGTCTGGAATATCAAAGGACTTTCTCGTAAGAAAAAGAGAAAAACGCACGCGGTTCTCTCCCGGATTGCTGACAGAAAAACGACAAAAAATATGTGGATGATTTCCTCTTGTTGCCGCATGACAAAAGGAAACCGTTGTTAAAGCAGCAGTTGTTATTTGAATGTTTTTCCTTTTTGCAGGATTCGTGATTTCAGCGATTTGCGAACTCGAAAGGAATGCCATCCAACTGGCCCTGGGCAGTTTTTACCCTACTCTTCTTCTCAGCGGTATGTATATATGCAGCGTTTATTCGAAATATAATTATAATATTTGAGATTTTTTACAATACTTCCATTTACAATCGCATTTAAATTTACAAGTGTTCATAAAATTTGTGAGTGAGTGAAAGAGTGAGTGAATGAGTGAGTGTGAGAAAGAGAATGTATGTATGTTGTGTGAGAGGGAGAGAAAGGAAGAAGGTGGGGTAGAGAAAAAGGAAGGAGGAGGGAGATAGGAAGTGGGAGAGAGAAAGGAAGAGAGAAAGAGGAAGAAAGAGAGAGAAAGAGAGAGAGAGAGAGCGTGTGTTTGCGAGAGAGAGGGGAGAGCGAAAGAAAGAAACAAAACGAATATTCGTAAAGTTTTCCGTATCTCTAAAAGACTGTCTCGTTTATCAGCGGTTAAGTAAAAATTGATAGCGGAACTAATGAAAGATTGTTTTGACATCGCATGTCAAAGATCGCAACGCGTCGACGCGACTTATCATCGAGCTCATTACATCGCTTACAGACGATTATTCCGACCTAAGTGTTACATGCTGGAATCCTTACTGTGATAAAAGTGAAAGTTGCTCCATTGTCATACGTGCCGTAACCTAATTGACTCGCCATATAAAGCCCCGAACGCGCTTCGAACTAAAAATCCCCCCTCCGATGCAGATCGGCCTGATATTTGCATCACGGAAGTTACTGCGATTTTCGATCTTACGCGCGGTATGCGTACGGTCGAAAGTCGTGGCGACCTCTCGGATACACTTGGAGCTGCGGTATGCGGAAAAAGCAATATTCCGATCGGCCTATACGACTCGAAGCATTTGGAGCGCCAAGTGGATTCTACGTGCTAAGAATATTGCGCCGGTTTTTGTCTGTACCGGTCAATCGATAGCTTATCAATGCATTGTTATTAGATTTCATCGCTAATGTTTATCTTAACCTAGTAACCTTCTAATCTGCCTTGCCCGAATTATCATTTTTCAAGAATCAAGTCAAGTTAGAAGAGCTTTCAATCTTTGTCGAGAACGAAAGTTTCGCCGACCCGCTGTTCGGTCGTGTTGTCAAAAATTGAAGGCCCCCTGCTTTGGCATTGCAATACTTAAGAACAAAGGTCTATTAAATATACCTCGGTGAACAAGAGCCCTTCTAATCTGTCGTTGAGCCGCACAATTTGAAGACGAAACCGCTGGCCGGTCCGCCCTCGCGTCGTGTCTTTGGCAAAATGGACGATCTTCCGATTAGACTTGAAATTCGTTAACTCGATGCGACTTCGATATATCGAAGGTGATTCTGCGAGCGGAGATTCTGTCCAATCACAACGCAGTCAGCCATATCGAAAGTCGAACTAGTTGAAACAGTCTCCGCTATGAGGCGCCACCTTCTCAGACGAAAATTCGAGATAGTAGTATAGCTCAGCAGCAAGCAGACGAGTCCTTATATCTTTTTCTTATTTTTTTAATGGTAAACTGTAAGTGCCATTAAACAATAATTACATATTAATAATAATTCATCAGATATTAGGTAGTTACAAGAATATTAACCATTTATGGATTGCTCCCGATAGATAGAATCAATTTTCAGATGCCAACATTTGTTTTCAATATCGCCTAATTATCATTTCCGTTTTAAATTTCTCTTGTTTTATAGACGAATCTAAATATCGCAAGCACTGAGAATTCGCAGAACCTTTCTACAGACGAGAAAACGAAAAAATAAAGATTGACAATAAACAAGCATAAATATTTTTTAAGAGTTAAACTTGTCAATGCATATTTTCAAGAAAAAGAAAATTAACCACGCTTGACTTCTTGAACGATCGCAAGGAACTTCAGTATTATTTATATTTTTTAAATTATATATAAATTTTCTTGAAAATTTTCCTTAAAACATACTTCATGTAAGTTGGATCATTCTCGCCAACTACGGCCAATTAATATTTTCTTGATCAGATATAAGGAAATAAAAAATAGAGATCAGTCACAAATAATAACATAAATACTTAGATAAATTGTAAACAAAGAAAAAAGTAAATATAAAAGTATATCAGTCGACAAATCGCCAACCTGAAAAATGATCCTTCATAAACTCTTCTTTACTGAATTTATTCAGATCACTTATTGAATTTATTGAAATTTATTGAACGAAACTAATGAGACAAAAATACCTTCTTATAGGTGTAATCTGGCCGGTGGAGGGCATGCCAATATTCCTGCGATACATATCGCAAGGCTTGCCGCTGACGATGGCGACCACCGCTCTGCGGTCCATGCTGACCCGCGGCTGGAGTATCACGGAGCCGAACGTCTACAACGGCTACATCTCCACCATCATTTGGATCGTCGTGTTTCTCACGATAAGTTTACTGGTGCTGAGATTCAAACGCGGATAAGCCACGTCGTTCCACGACAGTCCGGACTCATCTCAGTGTACAGTGCCTTGCGAACGTTACCGCGAATGGAAAGAGTGCTGACGGGAGAATGCTGAATCAGGATCAGAAGAGGATGAATCGGGTCGGGTCCGTGAAAACGCGTGACGAAGAGCCGAACAGGATCGTCGATGGAATAGCTGGCGACGAAGCTCGTGCTGTCAGCTGAGACCATGATAATCCTCTTGTAGATGTCTTCTACATCCATCTGTATTATAGACACGTCCGTGAAGAAGCTCTACTGCTTAGGAGGAGATCTTCCTGTCGCTCAAGAGAGGAAGTCGTCTAACAACCAGAGAAGGACTCTCCTCACTTGGGCACAGTCTTGATTCTGGTCCTGGTCCTGGTCTTAGTGCAGATGCTAAAAGAATCTTCTCCAACTGCCGTGATTTTTCACTTGACGGCCAGCTGGTCGTTCGAGACGTCCCCGGATTCTCGTCGGTAGATCGGCTTCGCTCTAAGATGTCGATATATCGTCGATACGATCTCGCAGCATTCTCCACGAATGGACCTCTGATATGTGATGCTCTTGTGCGATTAATATGCTTGTAAAGCTTGTATGTGTGTATATGTGTATGTATGTACGTATATGTGTATGTACGCGCGCAATGAGAACTCGAGTAAGTGCGATGATGGTGTACGCGAGTCGCGTAGACTGTGGCGTTTGTCTCGCGCGCGAGTGCATCTCTTTATAGAGATCTATTCTAACTCGGCATCCGCTAAAACAGCGCGAACGCGGTCGAGGATTCGGGCCGTCAGGATTTTCCGCGACATGAGGCAATCTTCTCGTGGGGAAGTAGAACAAAGAGCCGCGAGTTCTTTTCTCAGCAATTCAATTTTTTCAAGATTGTGAGAAGAGAACTAAATGCAGAATTTGAACATTCCACACGACGTCTCAAATGAGCAAAATTTTGCCCCGCGTTAAATTTTACTCATGCCTGAGTGTTCTTTTCTTTCTCTTCTGAGGAGTCACCATACTGAGAAAAGAACTACTTGGAAATTTACTTGTGAGATATAAAATTTATTTATGCGAGAATAGACTTTATATCCCACAAATAAATTTTCAAGTCCTTTTTTTTTTCTTAGTACATCTTCCGAAAATGCATTATCGTCACACGCTGAGAAGGAAATATTTGAAAATTTATTTGTGGGATGTAAAAGTTATTTCTGTGAATAAATTTCAAATCTCACAATTTTCAAATACTCCTTCCTCAATGCAACTTCATTGAAGTGGAAACGCGCTGTGCACGCTACGCTACCGGAAGATAGCGTTCTATTCCTCTCTTTCTCTACTTCTGTTGTAATTGTTTATCCGCCTGCGAATAGAATTGCACGTTCGCAATTGCGGATCGCACCGCGGATAGTGGAATGATAGTGTAATCATTGGACCGCGCGGCACTCTCTCAAAATCATGAGCTGAGGATATCAGGGGCCAGCTGTCTTGCAATGAGAAGAAACTATCTCATCGCATGTATTTGCGTCCATCTGTGTCCGCAGCGAATCAAGCGTAATCATTGTCGTAATCTCCTCACTGACGATTGTGATCGCCTGTGACGACGAACGCCTCTACGAAGCCAGTTGAAAATTTGGCGTGGTGGGGGGCCTGGTAAAAAAAAAAGAACAGTCGTCCCGGTCTTTTTCTATAGCGGGATCATAGCTAGTAAGTTTCCAAGATGATAGCGGGTTATACCGTAGCGCAATTTTACTTGCCCATGACTTAAGCGTACATTCTATTTAACTAGTTAACGATCGGAAGTAGGAGCGAAGGGCGACGATCGGGTGGACACGACGCGTGTCCCCGGCCGCCCTTCGGTTAAATATTATACATATATGGAACAAAAAAAAGGATGCGTTTTATCTACCGTATATTTTATACACAAGTACGATGATTTCTAACTGAGAGCGCAGTGCCGAACGACACGTCAGCGTCGCGTCTCGCTCGGTGAACTTAGGACGTTCGCACGAAAAATGTGCAATGATGTGCAATAATGAAACAAAAATAGGGAATTCGATACATTGCAGGCGAAGGAAGGTCGTGAGATGCGTGGCGTTTTGCAAGATATGATCAGGAAAAGGATTCTCGCAGCAACTTATGCATTATACAACAGCATGTACAAAATTTCATCAGTTACATCTTATAACACGCGGCTTGCGAACCGTTATATGTGTGTGAATCTATGTTCATTTGTCGTAAAAAAATTGTAAAATTGCACGCTATCGAGCGTTCACCAATACACAAACAATGACGTTTTCAGGAGACGATGCGTCGATCAGAAGGTATCGGAGCAGGAAGCTTGACAACGTGTGTAAAAATGTGTATATTTTATTTTACTTATATAAAGATGGGACTCAAAAATTTTCGTAC